GAAGCTCCACTCCTCTAAAGGATAATTAAGGGTTGTAACCTTTCTTTCTTTTTTTCCTTTTCTTTTTTCTTTTTTCTTAGTTTAATATATTTTCATAGCAAACTTACAGGAACAGCACAGAAAACAGACAACATTAAAAATATGTGCTTGCACGTAGGACAACTCAGAAAAGTATAGTGCATGGATGGAATCTGGTGGATGCTACAAACACCATTTAAAACAAGGGTTGTAGTCTTATCTTTGAGTCTTTAACTCTGAGGCCCAGCACAGTGCTGGACACAAAGTAGACCTTGGGATGCTATATAATAATTAGTGACAGTTTTAGTCATAAATTGCAGTTTTAGTGCCTATCCTAGTAAGGCATTTATGTCATGGAAGAAAAGTAGAGTGAGCTGTAAGAAAATTACTCGTTGTTTTTAAAATTTTTACCCCTTAAACTGGCTGGAAAGCTACAGTCCATTCCTTCATTAAAGACTATGAATTGAGTGTAATAGGCACAATGTATACAGAGATCAAGGCATGTTCTATTACTGTTCTGGGGCTCAGAGACCGACATGAGCCTCTCAAACGACCTCTCTATTTCATACCTCCAGAAAGTTTACCACTGAGTGATGAAAGGATCAGAAAATATACTTATTAAAGAAGATAAATAAATGGACACCTCATTTTAAAATGTGCTTTTTGAGTACCTACTGTATACTAGCCTAGGATCACAAAGCTGCACAGGAGGAAATTTAATATATGACCTGTGGCAGTCGGTGAGGGTGGTGAGTGATAGTCTTATGGAGTCCCCTCCGAGACTGGGCTACAGGGACTCATAGTCTGTTTGCTTAGCAGGACTGACATGGTAGCTACCTTCAGGGACTTGAGGGCTGTCCTGTGGAATAGAGATTCCATTTTCTTCCTGCAGGGCTAATGTGAACTACAAGAAATAAACACACCAGAGGTCAATATAAAATCTTTAAGGCAGAGCTCTCCAAAAGTGGACAAGGCTGTCAGGAGACAGGGGTCACATTTTGCTGGAGATGAGCAAGCCATGCCTGCACAGCCTCTAACAAAAAAGATTAAGGAGGACTGGAAATGTCAACTCAAAGAGCCCTTTCAGGTCCTGACCCTGAGTCTCAGATGGCTGTGTGCCAGCAGCTAGTAGGTGCAATAGGAGGAAGACTTGAGGGTCTGCTCCAGGGAACTTTCCTTCCTTGCAGACTAGAGAAAAAACACTGAATGAAAGAGCACACTAAGCGAGACTTGACAAGCGAGGATGTGAGCTCCTGGCCCTCATGGTGCCTCCACGGGTTAGGTTTTAGAGTTATGTGAAGTGGCCAACCCTTGGATACCCACAACACTTCATGCCCATACGGGGCAGTACTGATTCACCCCTCCATTCCCACTCATTACCTCTCTTTTCATACTGGATTCATTACTCCATTCATACCAGATTCATCCCTCCATTCATATCCATTCACCCCTCCTCTCCTACCAGATTCACCCTTCCATTTACACCTATTTACATCTCCACTCCCACTGGACTCACCCCTCCATCCCATTCCCTGGAACCCTTCAGCTTCTCCCCCTCTTCAAGCTGTCTACTCTGAGCCATAGCAGCCACTCCCAGTCTCCTCCGCCACTCATCTGCCACCTCTTGGCTCAGGGACAGCACAGAAGAGACCCATTCCTCCTGGATAAAGGATAAAGGCTTCGTGGAGCTGGACTCGTAGGTTAGGATGTGACCCTACTGAAGCTACTGCATCAAGAAGGGGCCATCATCCAGAACTTCATAATGGTATTTGTTCTAAGGACATTTATCTATCTGCTGTCATACCTGCCTGGCCATTTTCTTGATTTTTGTTTTGTTAAGTCTCCCTCAGTGCCCTCTTTTTCCATGAAGGGATGTCTTGTATCCCTAAAGTGCTATAGACTACATGCGGTTCCTTCACTGCCTTTTCTACCAAGAGCAAGGAAACCCAGTCATCCAGGACCTGCAGCAAATTAGGGACCATTTCCTCAAGTGTTTCTATAAGGACTGTAAGTTCCTTGGGCAGGTCCTTTGGTTCAGATGTTTGCCCTTCATGAGGCCTGGCTCAATGGATGACTCATGGCAAACACTCAGCAAACACTTCTTACATGGAATTCTATTTCTAAAGTGTTCTGAATGACTCTAGAATGTATCTCTAAATAAAGGGACCAGCAAATGGCATAGTGGCTACATCGCTGGAGTCCCACATGGCCAACCATGGTTTGAGTCCTGGACCCAGAGACTTGAAACTCATGCCGGGCACATGTGCATGCATGCCCCAAATCCCAAGATGAGAATGGAGAAGGGATGGTGGCATGGCCATCCCCCCTGGGTGGGTGATTTCTTAATTTCTGTCTCTCTCGATCCCCAGCAGGCAGCATGAACACTATAAAAAGAAAAAAAAATCTCTGAATAAAAGAAAAAGAAAAAAAGAAACCAACCTGAATAGCCACGTTAGAGATGGATCCTTGTAGAAACAGTCACACCCCTTCCTCTGCCTTCGTAGTGACGACTGCCATCTGAGGATCTGGTTGCCTCTCTCTCATGCTCAGAGGAGCTGTTTACAAAGCTGTGGAGTAGAGTTTCAGAATCCAAGAAGATTCTGGTGGAGCATCCCAGCTCTCTGTCATGACCCTGCAGGGCAATGAGAGAAGGTCAGACCCAGGGGAGAGCATCCACTGTGGCTGAGCTATTGGCAAGGACCCCAGCCAGCCCACAACAGCCCGATAGGAAAAAGCCACAGAAATGAATGCCCTGTTGCCATCTCCTAGAATGACCACCATGGGCCACACCTAACCAGAGCCAGAGGACCGAGAGCCTTCCATACAGTCTATAAATGTCAGCTCCCATAGCTTGGCACAGGGTGAAGAATCTGAAGGGGGAAACTGAAAACTGGCACGCTTACCACACGGAGATGCCCTCG